CTAAGTCTTGCTCATAGATTTTCTCACTGACACATGGCCTTTTCTTCCCTTTAAAATCAGACATTTGCGAGTCTCAGCCCCATCCCAGGGCACATGCAGTGGCTCCTATCTAAGCTGGCTTCTCAATAAAACTTTCTGAAGGTGAAGACATACAAAATTCGCTTTGTTTATCGAGATCTTGGCCACCATCTGCATATACCCGCATGTCGCCCGCCTAGACCGCCTAGAGGCTACATCCGCTTTGTTTTACTCCATATCATCAACTCTGGTGTGCATATTGTTACATTAATTATTATTTCTAGAATTTAAATAACCTTCAACTCTTTGTTTCCTTTTTGAAAGGGAATATTGACCTCTTATCTTCGGTTTTTTGCTACCATTGCTTGATCTGAATACTGAAAAAAAATTCCACAGCCTGGCTTACAAGGGATCAACCTGGGAAGGTTTCTAATCAAACGTGTGATCAAACTTGTGAAAAGAGAAATGACAAATATTTCTGTCTAAGTCTTGCTCATAGATTTTCTCACTGACACATGGCCTTTTCTTCCCTTTAAAATCAGACATTTGCGAGTCTCAGCCCCATCCCAGGGCACATGCAGTGGCTCCTATCTAAGCTGGCTTCTCAATAAAACTTTCTGAAGGTGAAGACATACAAAATTCGCTTTGTTTATCGAGATCTTGGCCACCATCTGCATATACCCGCATGTCGCCCGCCTAGACCGCCTAGAGGCTACATCCGCTTTGTTTTACTCCATATCATCAACTCTGGTGTGCATATTGTTACATTAATTATTATTTCTAGAATTTAAATAACCTTCAACTCTTTGTTTCCTTTTTGAAAGGGAATATTGACCTCTTATCTTCGGTTTTTTGCTACCATTGCTTGATCTGAATACTGAAAAAAAATTCCACAGCCTGGCTTACAAGGGATCAACCTGGGAAGGTTTCTAATCAAACGTGTGATCAAACTTGTGAAAAGAGAAATGACAAATATTTCTGTCTAAGTCTTGCTCATAGATTTTCTCACTGACACATGGCCTTTTCTTCCCTTTAAAATCAGACATTTGCGAGTCTCAGCCCCATCCCAGGGCACATGCAGTGGCTCCTATCTAAGCTGGCTTCTCAATAAAACTTTCTGAAGGTGAAGACATACAAAATTCGCTTTGTTTATCGAGATCTTGGCCACCATCTGCATATACCCGCATGTCGCCCGCCTAGACCGCCTAGAGGCTACATCCGCTTTGTTTTACTCCATATCATCAACTCTGGTGTGCATATTGTTACATTAATTATTATTTCTAGAATTTAAATAACCTTCAACTCTTTGTTTCCTTTTTGAAAGGGAATATTGACCTCTTATCTTCGGTTTTTTGCTACCATTGCTTGATCTGAATACTGAAAAAAAATTCCACAGCCTGGCTTACAAGGGATCAACCTGGGAAGGTTTCTAATCAAACGTGTGATCAAACTTGTGAAAAGAGAAATGACAAATATTTCTGTCTAAGTCTTGCTCATAGATTTTCTCACTGACACATGGCCTTTTCTTCCCTTTAAAATCAGACATTTGCGAGTCTCAGCCCCATCCCAGGGCACATGCAGTGGCTCCTATCTAAGCTGGCTTCTCAATAAAACTTTCTGAAGGTGAAGACATACAAAATTCGCTTTGTTTATCGAGATCTTGGCCACCATCTGCATATACCCGCATGTCGCCCGCCTAGACCGCCTAGAGGCTACATCCGCTTTGTTTTACTCCATATCATCAACTCTGGTGTGCATATTGTTACATTAATTATTATTTCTAGAATTTAAATAACCTTCAACTCTTTGTTTCCTTTTTGAAAGGGAATATTGACCTCTTATCTTCGGTTTTTTGCTACCATTGCTTGATCTGAATACTGAAAAAAAATTCCACAGCCTGGCTTACAAGGGATCAACCTGGGAAGGTTTCTAATCAAACGTGTGATCAAACTTGTGAAAAGAGAAATGACAAATATTTCTGTCTAAGTCTTGCTCATAGATTTTCTCACTGACACATGGCCTTTTCTTCCCTTTAAAATCAGACATTTGCGAGTCTCAGCCCCATCCCAGGGCACATGCAGTGGCTCCTATCTAAGCTGGCTTCTCAATAAAACTTTCTGAAGGTGAAGACATACAAAATTCGCTTTGTTTATCGAGATCTTGGCCACCATCTGCATATACCCGCATGTCGCCCGCCTAGACCGCCTAGAGGCTACATCCGCTTTGTTTTACTCCATATCATCAACTCTGGTGTGCATATTGTTACATTAATTATTATTTCTAGAATTTAAATAACCTTCAACTCTTTGTTTCCTTTTTGAAAGGGAATATTGACCTCTTATCTTCGGTTTTTTGCTACCATTGCTTGATCTGAATACTGAAAAAAAATTCCACAGCCTGGCTTACAAGGGATCAACCTGGGAAGGTTTCTAATCAAACGTGTGATCAAACTTGTGAAAAGAGAAATGACAAATATTTCTGTCTAAGTCTTGCTCATAGATTTTCTCACTGACACATGGCCTTTTCTTCCCTTTAAAATCAGACATTTGCGAGTCTCAGCCCCATCCCAGGGCACATGCAGTGGCTCCTATCTAAGCTGGCTTCTCAATAAAACTTTCTGAAGGTGAAGACATACAAAATTCGCTTTGTTTATCGAGATCTTGGCCACCATCTGCATATACCCGCATGTCGCCCGCCTAGACCGCCTAGAGGCTACATCCGCTTTGTTTTACTCCATATCATCAACTCTGGTGTGCATATTGTTACATTAATTATTATTTCTAGAATTTAAATAACCTTCAACTCTTTGTTTCCTTTTTGAAAGGGAATATTGACCTCTTATCTTCGGTTTTTTGCTACCATTGCTTGATCTGAATACTGAAAAAAAATTCCACAGCCTGGCTTACAAGGGATCAACCTGGGAAGGTTTCTAATCAAACGTGTGATCAAACTTGTGAAAAGAGAAATGACAAATATTTCTGTCTAAGTCTTGCTCATAGATTTTCTCACTGACACATGGCCTTTTCTTCCCTTTAAAATCAGACATTTGCGAGTCTCAGCCCCATCCCAGGGCACATGCAGTGGCTCCTATCTAAGCTGGCTTCTCAATAAAACTTTCTGAAGGTGAAGACATACAAAATTCGCTTTGTTTATCGAGATCTTGGCCACCATCTGCATATACCCGCATGTCGCCCGCCTAGACCGCCTAGAGGCTACATCCGCTTTGTTTTACTCCATATCATCAACTCTGGTGTGCATATTGTTACATTAATTATTATTTCTAGAATTTAAATAACCTTCAACTCTTTGTTTCCTTTTTGAAAGGGAATATTGACCTCTTATCTTCGGTTTTTTGCTACCATTGCTTGATCTGAATACTGAAAAAAAATTCCACAGCCTGGCTTACAAGGGATCAACCTGGGAAGGTTTCTAATCAAACGTGTGATCAAACTTGTGAAAAGAGAAATGACAAATATTTCTGTCTAAGTCTTGCTCATAGATTTTCTCACTGACACATGGCCTTTTCTTCCCTTTAAAATCAGACATTTGCGAGTCTCAGCCCCATCCCAGGGCACATGCAGTGGCTCCTATCTAAGCTGGCTTCTCAATAAAACTTTCTGAAGGTGAAGACATACAAAATTCGCTTTGTTTATCGAGATCTTGGCCACCATCTGCATATACCCGCATGTCGCCCGCCTAGACCGCCTAGAGGCTACATCCGCTTTGTTTTACTCCATATCATCAACTCTGGTGTGCATATTGTTACATTAATTATTATTTCTAGAATTTAAATAACCTTCAACTCTTTGTTTCCTTTTTGAAAGGGAATATTGACCTCTTATCTTCGGTTTTTTGCTTCCATTGCTTGAACTGAATACTGAAAAAATTCCACAGCCTGGCTTACAAGGGATCAACCTGGGAAGGTTTCTAATCAAACGTGTGATCACACTTGTGAAAAGAGAAATGACAAATATTTCTGTCTAAGTCTTGCTCATAGATTTTCTCACTGACACATGGCCTTTTCTTCCCTTTAAAATCAGACATTTGCGAGTCTCAGCCCCGTCCCAGGGCACATGCAGTGTCTCCTATCTAAGCTGGCTTCTCAATGAAAACTTTCTTAAGGTGAAGACATATAACATGCGACTCTCAGCCCCATCCCAGGATGCTTCTGTGTAAGCTTCATACTGTAATGGCAAGTTACTTGATAACATTTTAAACTTTCAGGGAATTCACTTCTGGGAAAAACAGCATGGAAGTGTTGTTCAATTTATTAACTTCACCAAACCATGAGTGGACAAGTTCAGATAAATTGCTTTCAACATATTAAAACCCCCTCTAATAAAACTAGTTATTAAGTGAAGTTTTCTCTCCTCTTTTTTCCTGCAAAACTGGTATAAATGGAGACGACGGCTCTGTTGTATTATGAAACAGCTAAGAGTGAATATTGTGTAATTGGCGATTACATCATACAAATTGCTTTTGTATTTTTGCACAAGCGTGTGTTCTATGTTAACTAATTATTGTTCCTTTGCCTCTAGGTACCTTCTGCAAGAGAAAAAGAAGGAAAAGCTCTGGATTCTGTTGCAAATTTTCACTACACAGTGAAGCCTTACGTCATTTAACTCAAGTTGGTTAACTTTTCCTCATATGGGCCTTTCTAGTTGTTGTTGTATAATATGATGGATTGGGTAAAACACATAAGATGCATATATCAATTATGTTCCTTCAATTATTGAGGTTAGATAACAATGTATAGCCGGCTGGCTATACTATTAAAATTTTAGAATATATAAAAATGTATAGCCGCTCGGCTATATTAAGTATAGCCGGTCGGCTATACTATTTAAATATTGTAATATAGTAGTAAAGTATAGCCGCCCGGCTAAACTATTAAAATATTCGAATGTATTTTTACAGTATAGCCGGCGGCTATACTATTTATATATTATATTTCTCTGCCTAAACCCAAACCAGCCAGCAACTGGAGAAAGGCAAGATGAATCAACACCTCCTACTAGTCAGGATCTACTAACCAATGCCATCGGGAAACCTTCTATCAAAAGTTCTGAACTAGCATCCGACTTTTGTCCAATTCCTCATCTGCAGAGGACATTCTTCCAAACAGGGTTTATCCCGCAGCCCAACTTGCTCTTATGTTATGTACTTGTCGGCTTAAATCGGGCTGAGCCCATTTCCTCCAACAGTTACCGCGCATTCGATTCCTTGTATTCTCTAACAGCTCCCTTCTACCCATGGATTTTTGTGGGAGCAGATGGCACAGCTTCTGTAAATGATGAACACATAAATCATCAAAAACATATGGAATGAAGCATTGCACTTCTGTTTTCGGGTTACTGTTCAAACAGAAACTGAACGGCAAATTGATAAACTTGGGCGCAAAGAGGAAAAAGCGACAAAGACGAGGAACAGAATGTGACACTGATAGTGAACTGGCTGCTGTAAATTTTTCTTCTTTACACTTTTTATTAATTTTTGTTTAATTCTCTTGGTATTCTTGGATTTGGGGCTGATTATTGTCTGGGTGTTTTTTTTAGTCGTGTAATGAAACCATTGTGGGTGATTGAGTTGAATTCTTTATGTGTTTTCTTGGGGTTAATAATACTTTAGGGTTTGGTTTCAGGATCTTTGGAAAGGAGGTCTTTTTGGGTTGATTAGACACATTGGAATTTATGGGTTTATGTTTGCTTTTAATGTCTTTGGGGGCTGATAAGCGAGGATCTCGTGATTTGCATTAATGTTTGTCCTTGAGTTTAAAAAGGAATGATAGGTTATAGTGACTATTGGTTATACTCAATTGTACAATTTGAATTTGAGTTCTTAGTCGAGTTAAAGTGGTGGCTTAGCTTAGCTTGTAATTTGTAAAGGAACTATTTGAAGTTTTGCTACTAATACAATAGAGTTGTTATTGCATTTTGTTTGTGTATATTTTTTAATGTTCACACTCATGTTGTGAGTCATACTTACCGCAGCTCACGATCATCCATTTAAAACTGAAAAAGAATTAGCTCATTAGAGAGTTTTGTGTTTAGTAGTAGTATGATTTGAGGAGAAGTGGGAACTTGTGGTTTTCACATTATGAATTTCTTGAGTTGCTTTATGATTAGTGATTTTGTAATTCAAGTAGAGGACGCAACGGTTACTGTTAATATATGAGACGAGCTACTGTGGACGAATTTATATGACATTAAGCTGAATGTTGTTTTAGTAATAAATGATTTTAGTACTTTGATAAAAGATAAGATGTTAAGGGTTGTAGTGATTACAAAATGCAGTTAGCGTTCTCACAAAGTTGATATTCAATCTCCGTTATCAAGAGGGGGTTTTTGGGGTTTACTTTGATATTTTATACTCCAGAGAATGCTCTACTGCTTATTTTCAATTTTCCTTTTGGCATCTTGCTGAACTTTAGCGTATGGGAAAGAATTTCCAGCCATTCCTAAGTGGTCAGTAGCAAAATAACTTTGGTAAAAGCAGTGATGACGTTTTGATTACTACACATCGATAAGGATGTAGTTATGGAGCAATTTGATAATCAAAAGCTTACACGTCTACTGTGCTTATTTCTACGGTTTATGTTAAGATCTAGATTTATCTCTGCAGATAAGCAAGACTCAGAGAAAACATTGATATGTGAATGCCTTTGTGGTGTTCCTGGGGATCTCTTATTTTCCCAGAATCTGCATTAGTGCTTGCTTGACTGAATCCTAATTTAGGAGCCAGCTATGTTTATAAAATTAGTAGTGTTTATCCTCATTGGAAATTGGTGTCATCATCTTATTCCTATGGTGAGCTTCTGGAGGGAAAAGAGGTGGTTTACTTACACTGGATAGTTAGGAAAGTACTTGCATAGGGAGGTACCATGAAGTAGTCAAACTTGAGTTTGTGATGTTGTGTACTTGTGCTTGGAGTGAGTATAACAGTTGAAAACAACAACGTAGAGGTTCTCTATGCTTGTTCGTGTGCTCTAGTGGATTATTGGATTAACATATGTTTTACAAAGGATGACTCTTATGATCGTAATGGTATTGAGTTCATTGTGCTGTAACCATTAGTTTTCCAAGATTGGAATGTGGTTAACTGGATAGAATCAATTCGACTTTCTTAATTATTTTGTGTGATTTCGTTGTGGTTTTCTGTTGAATGATAACTTTGGCCATTTGACAAAGCAGATTGCTTTACTGGAAGAACAGCAACTTGAGGCTGCAGAACAGGTTGAAGATGAATCTAACTCTATCGATAATGAGCCAACTGAAACAGAGGCCACTCCCAAGAATGAGGTTTTAGATGAGAAACCTGACATTAATGATGTTCCTATGGAAGAAAATGAGGTAAAATGTTTGTAACTATTTTTATGCTTATGTTGTTTCCTACTATTTCTTGCTTAATGGAGACAACGTGCTTATTATGTGCATTGATGTATATGGAAAACCTAAATTGACTGATGAATATGGACATTTTTGGGAAGGAGGAAAACTTGATGGTTAGGTTTTCTGTATAAAAGGTGAACTATTATCAGTCTATATGGGCACTGGACTTTTCTGGTGGAGGGATTCCATTTAATTGTTGTTCTTTATATAGGAAATTGAGGAAAGCATATTGGCAGTAGAATTCCAAGATAAATATTTTCTATTGACTATAACTTGTATTTTGGTTTCATTCTCAGGACATTAATCAGGTAGTATGCCAAGATCTGAATGAAAGCACTTTAGATTTAAGTTTGGGCTTGAATGCGCATGAAAGTGATAATGGTTCTGCTCTAAATACTGAACAAACCAGAAATGGTTAGTTGCAAAAGTAGGTTCAAGTATTGGTGAGCCTATGATTGGAGGTCTTCGAAAAATGGCACCTCATAAACTTCAAAGGAGGAGCTAAATTGTTGGTGTCTAATTCTGAATTCAGTTTTCCCTTTGGCTTTACGCATGTACTACTAGTCTTCATTTGATGTTTCATTGTTTATCCGATTGCAAATTGCACCCATTTGGTATAAGATGCAAAACTTATACTTTCAACATTGAAATGATTGAATTTTTTT